GAGCCGACGTAAATAGTGAGTGTACATGAGTGAAATGACTGTTGTTGAATAAAGAGATGCTCTAAACCTGCGCACGTACGACATGCACACGTATAATGAACCATCTCCAACGGGATATACACCCAGAAACCATCCCTCTGACAGAAGCTCCACAACAGGGCACACAGCAAAGTTTTTTCGGCGGGTATTTTAGCAAATTAGTCTTGTGGCGTTAGGTTTCGTTTTTGTGCGCAAAACTGCATTAAATACATTATAATCTCAAACGGGCTGATGTCGCTTTATAGTAGTTATGGTGCTTATCAGGACCAAATGCTGACATTTGAACCACTATTAATGTTACCATCATCTTACTCGAGGCTGTGATCACCTAGCATAACCACTAGCTATACATCGCACAAGCTAAATAAACATTAAATAAACTGTCCATGATACTGTGAAGCTTTCAACTTAATTACCCAAATAGTAATGGTTGGACAGGTGTTGCAAATATATTTTGTAGCAACAATGACTTACCTTTTACCTTACCTTACCCTTCATTTGTTTGGATATTTATTTCTTTGGATTCTCAAATCCAGCTTCCCACACTTTTCACAGGAAACGACATAAGCAGACACAACACCATTCCCTTTTTTCTTGAGATGGGTGTAAATAGAAGAATCGTGTCCATTGAACTATTAACACCCAGGGTGCAAACAGACACTCAGACAAAAAAAATCGCTAATTCTGCATCTGTAAGACCCAAGACATTGGGTATATTTGCTTGGCCAGTAAAAATCTGATAAATAGAATATTCAGATAACCCAATAACTGGATTAGACTTTTGGTGTGTTTACATGCACAAATGAATTCTGATTAAAAACATGTCAGTTGATCAATGATTTAAGTAACAATTTCAAATTTTAACATTTTTCTACTGCTTTAGTTTGGGAGTTTTTTGCATACATTTCTTTGTCAAAATCTGCACAGGTGTGAAAAATCTGAAATTGGATTGATCACTCCAGATGTAGCTGTTTGTCAGATAACTCAGGTGTGTATATATTAACACACACAAAGAAACTGAGGTAGTGTCTATTTATACCCTCTGTTTTTTTCCACCCCTCTCTTTTGACTTGAAAGGCATTGTAAGAGTCTGTAAAATGCATATGTGCTGGCCAGCTGCAGCAGTTGTAACAGTAACATTGTATACCTGGATGCACCATCTGCTAGTCCCTCCCTGTTTATCCCACTCTCCACCCTTTCTCACAGCTCACCCCTGCTCTTGTCTTTGGACTGATGACGTTCTATTTGTCGTGTTAGCTTTACTTACCCGCCTGCCTTATATGTGCCAGTGTTTACCCTGCCGGCGCTGTTGTCCTTGGACATCCATACATCTCCGAAATGGATAACACCTGCCAAAATGTAATTTAGCTCCCCTCCTATTCTTCTCTCTCTTCTCCAGAGCTTGTAGGCAGATTCTTCTGAGGCGGCAGATAATAAATATCTGATCTGGGCTATTGGGAAACAAAGATGGATCTAAAAGTGGACTGGAAAACTGCAAAATGTCTTGGCAAAGCAAGTGACATTATCATATAAAATACCCAATCAATCTTAAGGTGGGCCCTTGAGGTAAATACAGGTAAGTGGAGTGGGAAGAAGCGTGGAGACTATTTTCAGTTTGCAATTCAAATTCACACTATAGCCTGCATTCAGAGTATCATCTGTCTATCAGTGAATCTTTTTTGCAAATCAACTGTGACTTTTGCGTATGTATCCAGGCTGGTGCCACCTAGTGCCTGCGCTCAATTTCATTTCTCTCCAGCGACTAGGTCAGGAATCAGAATACATTAGACAGCTTGCAAGAACCTTGGAAGTTGTCGACCATGCACCAGCCAATCAGTGAAGAGCTGTGAAGCCATGTCTGGGTCTCTTCTGTGGTACAGCATAACAGTAAACAAAGCCATCGAGATGGATGTAGAGCAAGACAAACATTCTGTGTTGGCAATGATTTCTAAGATAGAGGATTTAAAGCCTGAACAGAGAGAATGTTTGGTGAATTTTATCAAGGGGAAAGACGTTATTGCCCTGGGATTGGTGCATTACATACATCACGACTAAATAGCAGCGACTGGTTAAATACAAAAAGTAGCCGCCTATCGTCGAGTGAACGAATCCTAATGATAGTGAAACTGGCTGATGAATCAGACTACAGCAGTTTCATTTCTAGAGTTGGATGGGCTCACACTGTTTTGCAAACAGATATCACTGTATAAACCAGGAAGCTCTTGTTCTTCTTAAACACTACATTCATAAGCAGAGTGAAGTGTCTTGCCAAAGTATCCAAAGGCAGCAACACATCATCTATCTAATAATGAATCTATCTTTTTGCAAATGGGTTCACACTATTTTGTAAACAGATATGATTATGTTTTGGAAATCATTGTATGAATTGGGAAATCCTTCTCATATATTCATAGGCTGAGTGGGTGAAGTGTCTTGCCCAAGGATCCAAAGGCAGTATGCAGTGGTTATAGCTGAAATAAAACCTTCAGAACTTTGATTTGGGTGAACGCTCTAACCACTGAACCACTGCCTTCTATTTTTGCTGACTTTGTAAAATATGTTCTTTGACTATGGCACTTTAAGATTCCTTATCTGTTGTGCTGAATCAGAACATTTACACTATATATTTTCATAGACTGGTTCATTTTAAAGTTGGACGCATTTCCTACATTTTGGCTCCCCCCACCGTTCAGCTGACGTCTCGGCACCAGCACCCCCCTCTCTTCGACGTCACCCTTCAAACAGACTGGGTGATGATTTGCGTATGCGCTCGACTCATGGAGGCAGCTGCAGCATGAGACGCAGATATGTTAAGCCAGGACTCAAAGGCTTTTATTGGCTTCAAATGAGTGTCTAGACATCAACATGACAGGTGCCATCTTTGCTTCTTTATTTCTGAGGAGGGGAGGATTTTTAGGTTGTTTTGGAGTGTGAACTGTGCCTGACTCATCGGTACTGAGTTTAAAATCACCCCTATGAGGTTTAATCCATTTTTTAAACCTTTGTAACAACAATGCATAAGCTTGTTATGAAAGCCACAACCTTGGTTATAAATGTGTCTGCATTGTAAATGCCTTGTAAATTACTCCCTGGTTTTGTGTAATGTCCCTGCGTCAGCTCATATGTAATGGTTTATCAGTCTCAAAGTTCAAGTTTCATGTCCAAATACATTTTTTTCTTTGCATTACCCTACATAAAATATACTACCTTTTATCAAACCCCTATGGAGCTCATTTCGACTTAAGTATTCCGTTCATAGCAGAGGCTTTTCCTCCAGGTCCTGACAGGTATTAGAAAAAGGCTATGACATGACTGTCACAGACTCATCTAAATAAATGATTCATGGCATGGAGCTGAAGAGCTTCGGAGGAATTGTTCATCATTCAACATGGAGAGTGATGCAATGCCAGGATCAAATGTGATTGGAATTCAGGTCCTAGGGTCTAAAACTCATGTGGGGTGTCACCTCTGAACAAGATCAGGTAATGACACTAATGACACTAATCCTAATTGATAATTTATACAAGATGGTTTAGGGGGGAAATGGAAGTTCAGATTTGACAACAAACTGGATTCCTGTTGTCCTAAGTCCCACGCATGCGATGTAACTCAGCCATATAACTCAGTCTGCTTAAGTCCATTAACATTCTCACCAGACGAGACTAACAATTCTGCAGTCATTTAATACACTGGCTCAGGCTCAGAGAAACTGACTGAAGGTAACCTTAAATGCTGAGAAAAACACATTTTACACATTTATTTCTGTGAATTCTTTTTCAGTCCAGCCATAAGACTGTCACATCCTTTCTGCACAGAGTGTCTTAAAATGACCTGTGATATTTCTGACTCAGACTGAGAAATCAGTCCTAATTTTCTGAGAGTATTAGGGACATTTAAGATAATGAAATGTTTTCTTCCCAGCAATCATTTCATCTTTCTTTTAACTCGTTTAAGGTGAAGGAAAATCTAACACATTTTTCAGTGTGGATTTAGGTTTTGGGTTTAGTCTGCTAGTTTATGATAGTCAAGAGAGAGACAGAGAGAGAGAGAGAGAGAGAGAGACAGAGAGAGAGAGAGAGAGAGAGAGAGAGAGAGAGAGAGAGAGAGAGAGAGAGAGAGAGAGAGAGAGAGAGAGAGACAGAGAGAGAGACAGAGAGAGAGAGAGACAGAGAGAGAGAGAGAGAGAGACAGAGAGAGAGAGACAGAGAGAGAGAGAGAGAGAGAGAGAGAGAGACAGAGAGAGAGACAGAGAGAGAGAGAGAGAGACAGAGAGAGAGACAGAGAGAGAGAGAGAGAGAGACAGAGAGAGAGACAGAGAGAGAGAGACAGAGAGAGAGAGAGAGAGACAGAGAGAGAGAGAGAGAGAGAGAGACAGAGAGAGAGAGAGAGACAGAGAGAGAGAGAGAGAGACAGAGAGAGAACTTAACTAGTTAGTCAGTAACATCAAAATACACTACTGTGAAGTGTACAAGTTAGACTGACTCCATGCAGGTATTGGGTATAGGTTTATCTGTTACAGGCACATGTGTAATTCAGGTATTAAACATTTTGATTTGGCATTCATACAGATGTTGGATGACTAAAAAATAAAACATGACCCTCTTCAGTTCAACAACAGCCTTCAACACCCCTCTAATATTAGACTCATACAACGATGAAGAGTGAAACACTACTGCCACCAAGTGTTGAACAAAAACACTACAGTTACATTTTCCATCTTGCTTTATTTATTTAGATATACAGTACATTCATTTTCAAATCAAGTTTATAACCAATTAAAGATATAACATAGATTGAATTTACATTATAACATAAATACATACATAAATACATATGAAAAAGTACATCATAATTAGCACTTTATTAAAATATTTTTTAATAATAGAAACAAAATTGTATTTACATGTTGCAGGATATTATAAAAGTAGTTCATACCATTTAAGCATACATTTAATAGTGCATTATTCCTCAGCATGAATGAATAAATCTTGATATCTACTACACATAGACATGTTTCTGGCCCCACTATTCAAGTGTAGGAGTGTAACATGATAACATGCTGAGCCTTTAGATCATTGCATTAAGCAGGAATGTGTTTCATGGCACTGCAAGCAGGTTAATATCATAGCATCCATCAACCTGTGAAAACAGAAAAAAACATCAAAATATTGTGATTGACCATGGAAGATCTGACAAGAACCTGATAACTGTTGATGGTGTTGCCTCTATATTTGCATGCAAATAAAATAATAATCTGATTTATTTGATTTGATCTGATTTCACATTTAGTTCATTTGTTGATGTATTACACAGATACAGAGCCACTCTCAGTTTGGACACGTGAAAGTCAAACTAAACTATATTAAACGGTCTCAAGATAACTTTAGTTATACCCTGAAGATACTTACATCAAATCGTCCAATGGAAGCTGTGGTCTGGTTGGTCTGCATAACCTCTGTAAGAGCCCACATCTGCTGTATACTCGAAGACACTGTTGATGGATCTGGGAGGCCCTAAAACACAAAGTCCAACACTAGAAATCAGATTTTAAAATTCATTAATAAATAAATCACCTTCAAACACAAAGTGTACCTCTAAATCTGGGTGAAAGTCTACCAGGGTCAGGTTAGACAGCAAATCAGAAACCTCCTTCTCGGGATCCTGAGGTTGTAGACAGACATAGTTTTACTGTTGTGTAAAACAGGCTATGTTTCATAATAGTAGTATATGGTTTGATGTAGTTTCTGAGGTAAGGGGTCTCTTTAACTGTTTTTGAAAGAAACAGCCAAGAAGACTGTAAATACTGTAAATATTATCCCCTTAACAGGCCAGCTGACAAGAAGTGTGGCTGTGTGTCTGGATAATGCCACAACGTGTTGACACTACAGTATACAAATATTTCATCTTCATTAAATATTGTTGACAGAGAAGCCTAGTTCTGTTGCAACTGGATAAGTATGTATTAACTATCAACCAGAAAAAAAAAAAATCTTTATGACAAGTATACAAACCATTCTATCAGAACATTCTGTCCCGCCATTCACTCCAAATACAAACCTAACCTTTGGTTGAATGTAAAAATAAATTGAGCGTAACACTCACCGGTTCAATATGGCGGAATATTTTGATCTCTTCTAGGTTAAAGTTTAGCCAGGCTGAGGATGGCTGCCTTAGGATAAATCTTACAGACATCACATGATCAGGCACCACTTGCATCTATAAATGACATAAAGCACATGGTAGTAAGATCATCATAATGAAAATCGTAAAGGGTTAAACATAATTGGTATTTGCCAACAGACCTGGAAAATCCATAATAATGTCTGACACTTTCAAACAAACTAAACTCTCTAAAACGGTTTCCCAACTACAGATTATTACTGTAATGTAAATTCAAGAAAAGAAAAGATTCATTAGCATATACTTTTCGTCTTTTATTAAAACTCTAACTACATGTATTTATGTAATATAATAATAATTTTAAAAAAGTTTACTATTTTGATTTCATTTTACAAAATGTAACGGTAAGGTTTATGGAAGCACAACTTATGTGGTTCCAAAGTTCAAGATGAAATTGATATGTAGGATATTCTGTAGTTTTGAATGATTGTGAAGGTTTAGTGGGGCTCGTCCTAAAATGTATTGATCCCTCGTGAGTCAATAAAGTTTGTCTAAGTCTAAGTCTAAAATCACAGTCCTGTGATTTTAGAGCAATAAGCACATAAAGACCGCAACAATTTTGCTCTATTTTTTGCTCTATTTAGGCTGTGATTTGCTTCTCCCCGAGTTCGGGGGAGGCGTGACCCAACTTTCTGTCTTTGTATGCGATTTTGAAGCTGCTGCGCTCCTCATGTGTGTGTGTGTGTGTGTGTGTGTGTGTGTGCCTGTGTCAGTGTGACTGTGAGCTGCTCCATCAGATCAAGTAAAAAGGTAAGAGTAGTTCCTCACATGTGTCTGTTTACATCCACGCAGTGTGGATCGGGGTGAAGCTGCAAATTAGTAACAGTGACTCTACTTTCTGTGTACTTTATTGCCAGTCTTCTGTACATTCTAAATCTTGTATCTGAAGTTTTGCACCACATTTCACAAATAATAATAACCCAGTTTTGTCTTGCATCTAAAATAGAAGTGCAGTGCTCTGATCTTTTGAACACTTCTCAATCTCAAAGAGAGTGCACTCATTATCCCACTGTCTTTACGATCAGAGAATTTAAGTCTCATAAGATTCTCCTTGTGTCTGTGGTGTGCCCTTTTTGTAGCACGTTTAAAAATTGTTTAACACAAAAAAAATCCTGCAGTGTGTGTCGGCCTTAAGTATGCATACACTGACCTGTGCCCTGTGGATGGAGCAGTAGTCCTGAGAGCCTCCTTCTGTGTGGGGGTTATCCATCAGTGCCAGGTCCCTCAGAGCAGTGGCCCACTTAGCTGCAGTCTCCTGTCCTGGGATCTTTCTCAACAGGCGCACTGTCACATAGGCTGTGTAATAGTTCTTAAAGCTTATCTCCTCAATCTGAGAAAATAAATGAATGCAATTCAATAAAAAATTAAATAAAGACAGTCTAACTATAAATGATAACATCTGAAATGTTGCAAATGCTATAACAAAAACATGACAATACAGTAATAATGAGCCTTTCAGTTGGCAGCAATAATCTGTAAACACACCACCCAAATGTTTGTCAGAAATAATCCTATTATCCCTTAACTTACCTGCGGCTCCTTCTTTGAAGCTTAAAGCCTCAAGCTAGAGTGGAGTGCACAAATTATTCAAGAAAAATAAATAAATAAATATAAAAAAGTAGGTCAGTGAGTAGCCTATTAAATTTAAATACACACTGTAGCCAAACATCCTAATTAGGACACACAGTTTAATATAAGCACAATTGCTTTCTCGGAGCTATTTAAAAAATTCAAAGCAAGTATCATTTAGCCTAATTTTGTAAGAGTGGAAAACACAACTGCAGCTCTGAATTATCTTAAAAGCACTTACAACCCTCTGCTTCTATTCAGCGAAACACTTCTTATAAGAACACAGGGCAACATTTTAACAATGAAAGCAAGATGTACATATTTTGTCAGTAATGAATATTGTGATTGCTCTTGTTGACTGTATTACTGACTGCGTATTACAATTGGTTTGTGTCTTACTGACTCTTGTGCAGGGGTTTGCAACCTGTAGCTCGTGAGCTACAAGTAGCTCTCCACGCCCTTCCAAGAACCTCATCAAAAGATGTCTAAATTATATATATTGTGCTGAATGATTCAAATTTGATGAACTACAATTCGTAAATGTAGCATTTTGATGCATACATTTGTGCACTAATAAATAGATAAAAGTTCATGTTTTATAGGTATCTAGCTGCTCCCCATCTAAGACTTTCCTATGCTCAATTTCTTGTGACTGCTAAAATTAGTAGCTCTTTGATCTTTTCTTTTAGTGAAGGTAGCTCCCTGAAAGAAAAATATTGGAGACCCCTGCTCTAGTGTATGCATACTTACATTAACAGATTTTCCAAATGGAAGAGTAACATCAACAATGCAGACCCCGGACTTCACTGTATCAGTTTTGGCATCTCCTAGCTGCAGGAACACTGGGGGCTTCACGGTGCATGTCACAGGCTCTGCGTCACCGCTCCCACTCATTTTTACTAGAACAAAAAGGTGATATTATAGTAAGTGTAAGACAAACAGGTAACAGGTAGCCACTGCCAGAAAAGTCACAGTGCACATGTAATATTGCTACCAACAATGCAGGCTGTGGATTTGGACTAGAGCATAAACATTAGCAGAGCTGTTTAATGTCATATCGTCATAATGTCTTCCACAAGAAAAGTTACACATTGCACCTTTAAATATTTTATAGTTATATAGACTCCAACCCTTGTAAGATTATGACATAATCAAATCCTAGAACTTGAATGTAAACTATTGTTCTCAATTGTGGATGCAACGGCAAAGTCATCTTGAGGTAGAGAACATCAACAACACAACTGGGTTTTGCACTTTCATCATAACTTAAAGGTGCACACTGCTTTTAGTGGGTGGCCCATACCTGCAGAATACAGAATGGTCCTCAGTATGATATTAAACATTTACATCTTGCTTTTATTCAATTAATTTTTAACCCCATAAATACAATGCATTATTTTCATTGTGCGCGGGGTCACATAGCCTGGAAGAGACACCTGCTTGACTCCATAAGATAGATTTTAAGACAGAAGTTTAATGCTATACTGTTAACAGGATCGATGGCATCTTCACGGAGATACAACAAATGTACAGATGTACCCAATAGCAGAAATATTACAGTGCACCTTTAATATTGCTACCAGCAGTGCAGACTGTGGATCTGGACCGGAGCTTCTCATCAGGTCTAGCTTGACTGCTTTCTTTTGCACTTCTTTTTACACAACAATGTGTCTAAGATTAGGCATCGACTACTGCGCAAGATTCAAGTGAAAGAACAGAGGGAGAAAACGCTCAGTCCTTCGTGACTAGCACCATGGACAGCAACACTGCCTCCATCAAACACGGCACAGTTTAACCGAGATCTAAACTAAATATACTGAAACGAAAAGTGATTCAAAACAATCGACAGTTCAATCTGAACAAAGCCTGAAGGACAGCTAGTGTCGCTCTCCCGGGCTATTTGCAACAATCTTTCCAAATTAGAGCCCGGAAAGTTTAATAGGCTACATACATTTCATTACTGACCTCTTTGCACTTTAAGGAGTGTGCAGATATCAAGGATGGACGTGCTAAAAAACAAAAGAACAAGACTGTTTCACGCTAATCTACTGTTGTGAGTTACTTCCTGGTAGTAACCAAGGAAACTGGGAAGTCTTAAAGATACAGTACGTCTCAGTTCGGTCTTGTTCAATCCAGGCCATAGTATTCCAAAGAAAACACCTTATTTACTCAGATTTCTTACAGCTATAGTTAACCCCATCATTGTACAAATATATCTGAAACATTAACTATTTGTGTGATCAGTATGATACCTGTTTTGATTTTTTAACATAACATCTTGTTGCCTGTCAATAATTAAAACGATCAGCAGAGGGCAGTGTTGCTCCATTTGGTAGCCAATAATGTAACGTACAGTACAAAACTAAAGCCACGCCATGCATTTTAACCAAAACATGTTTCTTTTCGTAATCTACCAACAAGTTTTATTTAATAACATTATACATTTGAAATCTTAAAGAACTACTTTCCACCCACTCGTAAAATGTGGCACGTAATTATGGGAATTTTCACTATTCAAAAGATGTATTTTGTTTAAAGTGTTTATTGCTTTGGTGAGAGTCCTAATTTTGAAACGCTCAGCCAATTGAATCTCAATTGCTTATATACAGACTATTTTTGAGTAGCAGAAATATTCAAATATCCATTCAAATAGACCTATTACTTGTTTATTTATTCATTTTTATTACAGTGGTGATATTTCTCATTGCATTCAGTATTTTGAGTATGTGCCACAGTCCCACAGGTCCACTTTACTTTCATATAACTAGACACTCTTCTCTCTCTCCTCGCACTCTTTCTCTGAGAGTCAGTCCAATGGCAAACATTCATTTATTCTGTTTATTGTGTTTGAAGCTGCTCTAGTATTGTCTCCCAAAGCCCATAGATCAGTCAATGTATGAAACTGCCACTGTTTGGTCTCCCTGCAAATAAAACAATCTCCCTTTGTCCCTGTGCCTATAGCTGCTGGGACTTAGAGGAGGACCAGGGCTGGAATGAATGAGCGAGAAGGACTACGGGGAGTGTGGGATTTGGTCCAAGCGGCAATGTCCACTGGGTTTATCTCAGGCTCTCACACTGCTGTCCATCTCCCTGTGTTTACTACTCTTTCATTTTGTCCATTTACGTCCTTTTCTTCTCCTCTCTCATACATTTGTTTTGTATCAGTCTGTGTGTCTGTCTGCCAATTGTCACAGCCATCTGTCTGGTTTCTCCTGATAATAAAAAAAACGGAAAACTAGCAACATAACACGAGGCAAATGAGAATGCGCCAGGAGATAGTGGCTGCGTCTGGGCACTGGGAACCTGCTCCCTGCTGCGTAAAGCGTGATGTGGAAGAAGAGTGGGAAATTCATCTGGTCCACTCTGGATGATCTGTTTCTTACATAAGACAAGCATGGGGTGTCATTCTTATGTAACTAACATGCAACCGATGTCCTTCTGTTTCAACTTGGAAGTCAAGGAGAAGAGATGCTACAATGAGAGAGAGACTGGGGGTACACTGCAGACTTACATAATTACCTCACCATTTATTTAGTTATTTTGTTGGCAATGAGTGCTGAACAAATTAATTATAACACTGAAACAAATCAAATAATACAAGTTGTGTACCAAACATTTGGTAATATTTCACCATAACTACTAAGTTATGGTGAACTCATGTTTAGTTTGAGCACATTTCTGTAGGCTGTAATACGCTATAGTTTAAAGATGCACTGTGTACCTTTTCTGGCTGAGGGTCTGTCACCTGTTTCTCTCCACGGAGATGCTGTCTGGAATGTATGGAATTACACATTAATGACTGACCAAGTTACATGTCCGATTGGTGGAAAAGCGAGCGCACAAACGGTAAGAATGCAAGTCAAGGTCAATAAAAAAACCCATGTTAGTAAGTAAATGCAAGATGAATACATGTCCTATACGAGGACATTCCAGGCAATCCAATATTATTTCCATGGAGACAAGGAGGAGGGCAGCAGCAGCTCAGTTGGTAGAGCATTCACCCACCGATCTGAAGGTTGGTGGTTCAATTCCATTTACTCAGATTTCTTACAGCTATAGTTAACCCCATCATTGTACAAATATATTTGAAACATTAACTATTTGTGTGATCAGTATGATACCTGTTTTGATTTTTTAACATAACATCTTGTTGCCCCGTCAATAATTAAAATAATTGTGTGCGTGAATGGGTGAGTGGTTCCTTGTTGTAAAGAGCTTTGAGTGGCTTGGAGGTGGAAAAGGTGGAAAAGCGCTATAGAAAAATGTGACCATTTACCAAAATGTGACCAAGGAGGTGGCGGACCCCCCCCCCCATCAGAAAAGGTACACAGTGCACCTTTAAGCATGCATATTATTATACTTTTTTTTTTTTTTTTCCAGTAAGGTGATGCTTTTTGAACAGCTGCACTCAAACCATGTAAGGAATAGAACTTTCAATTATAATAAAAACACACACACACACTTGTTACACATAATAATTGCTTTGAATAGATGAAATAACATAGAAACAGCTCACTTAGAACCTTGGGAAGTATTTGAAATGCTTGTGTTCTTTTTCACCACATGACTAATCTTGCTCATTTCGTAGAATGAGAAAAATGACTGGGATTGATCAACCCCAAAACACACACGGTGATATTTGTGCAGCAGAATGAGAAACTAAATCCATTTTGCAACTCTTGTATAACAGGAGCGTTCTGAATGGAGTCACAGTTGAGGCCCCGGTGTGGTTCTGGAGGAGCGAGAGAGAGAATCGAGCTGATTTCTAAAATGCTGTGATTGTCCTAACCCTGGTGAGTGAACCTTGTCAGAGCCATCTCCTGTGCTATCGATCGGTGGCTGTAGAGAGCAGTGCCCTGGACACACTGAAGTCATTACAGGAGCACAAGTTCCCCACAACAAAGGCCCTATGTTGTAGTCCCACACACCTGGACTGTGTCTGGGTCAAAATATGAGAAACATCTTGCAATATTCCCCGCTGTTTGTTGTAGCACTATAAACTTGCAACCAGGGTAGCCTCTCATTTAACTGTGTTGAGAAAAAGATCCCAGTTTTGACTAGTGCATATTGGCGTATTGCAAGTCACCTCACCCATCTTGCCTGACATCTTTTCAGACTTTTTATCCACAAATCTGTTTGGTATGACATTTGGAGGCTATTTTCAAGTCAAGTGTGGGTGTCTCTTAATCATATGATGAAGAATAGAAACTCTCCTTGCAGTACAAACAGATGGCATGGAATACAAAAACACTGGCAAATTGAGGTGGAAAAGGATGCCCCTGAGTGGAATTTGAAAGAGCCGAGAGAGATTTGTTGTATCGTCAAAAAAGAAGAGAAATGATGTGCAGAAGTATGTCTGATTCTCCTCCTGCAGAAGTGCACAGGGCCACCATTGCAAACACCTGCAGATTCAGATGTTCCATGCATTTGTTATCAGGCCCGTGTTTTAGACTTGGTGCTATAATGGTGCGGTAAATCACAGCTGACAGGCCAGGAGCAGTCGGAGGCCCAGCATTTCTTTAGAGAAAGACGAATGATGGCAGCAAAAACTGTTGAGTTATTAAAAGAAGAGATGTCAACACTCTCTTAAAACCCACAGTACAACGTTATTTAAATGCATTAGTTTTCCGTTTGAAGTTTTACTCCTCCTACTGGAAGTGCATTAGGTGAGCCTTTTGATCTCACAATCACATTTGTAAAACGAGATAATCTGACCTATTGTCTGAGAGAAACAAGAAGACAAACTGTGGCCAAATTTAAATGAAACAGAAAATGCATACCAAAGTTGTTGTAGAGGTGCAAATGTAAGCAGTGATGCTCCTACACTGATTTATTCCCCTGGTGAGACCCCCTCCTTTTCACTCTTTATAAATCCAAATTTAAGCACATAACTCATGACCTATATAAGCAACCTCTGTCTGTATCTGTAAACAAAAGGCAGCAATGAAATCTTTGCTCATTGCTAGAGAATTGAGGGTCGACTATAAGGATGCATTTGAGCTTGAGTTTCTTTCTCAATGAAAATGTATGACTGTATATTTTGAACATTAACTTGGTCTTTTATATATATTTATTTTTAAATGTCTCCCTTTTCAGGTTGCCACAGTGATAATGTGCCTCTATGAGCAGCCCTCTGATGTTCTCGTTCCTAAACCGGCTTTGTCACTGTCAAAGTGAACCTCTACATCTTCAGTAGTAAGTAAAGACATCTCAGCCATCTGATATATTATTATTACTTTTACATAAACGTATGCACCGACTATCTCTTCATTCACTTGCTCTTTCAAGAAGCCCTCCCTGGTGCCTATCTTCCACTTTTGTTGTTCCCTGGCTTATTCTTTTCCCCTCTGCTCCTGTCGAAAAAGGCAAATGAATTCCCGGCTACCTTGTGTGTAAATGTAAATGTGGACACATCCAAAGGTCAGTGATTACATCAGTGTCTGTTGGGATCTGGGCCCCTGTCTATTCCTCCACACTCTGCTCCTGTGTGGGGGGTATGTGTGTGTGCATGTGTCTGCTTGTATGTGTGTGTGTGTGTGTGTGGAACTCACTCTAGTGCAGTGCGGTATTTCCATCTTTGCCTCATTTGAATATGTTTTTAATTATCTGCCCACAACAGTCTACAGACACACTGCAGGAGAAACTCTAATTTGTGTTCTATATAAGAGACATGCATTATTGTCGGCATGTCTGCGAAATTCAAATTAATTCCAGGGGACATCATTTGGTAGCATTCCCTTTCTTCACAGCCTCAGGCAAACCCCATCCCCAACGCAAAAAAGAAGGAATAAAAAAACTAAACTTTGAGATATCATTCTTCACTACTGTCGGGAAGTCTGAGCCAGTCAAACACTTGAAGTAATTGTTTTATTTGGCACCACTACATTCTCACTATGTTTTAACTTGACTAACACTTGAGGGTAAAATCCATCCTTGACCTTCAGTGAACAATAATCCTTTAATAAGAGCAGGTATGACGATAACTGTAGTTTGTCAAAGTGGCAGCATCTTTTAGTGCCTCTGTGAAACCCACTGGAGCCGTGCATTGCCAAACTATAACACCTGGGAACTC